CAGGGTAAAAAAGTCAAAAGTTTATTATGAAAATGATATTTGGCTAAAGACTCCCCGAAGTTCTTCAAAATTATGGACAATTACATCAAAACTTCAAAATGATCTTCTTCTTAATTAGATTAGAAAAAAGATATTGGGCTTGAGCAAAGAAAATTACTTTTAGCACGAGAACGGTTTCATGAGTATGGCCCCTGATATTATTCTCCTTGTCTGTTTTTTTCTATTGGCTTCATGCAAATTATTTCTTTGTTCATATGCTGCCATATTTTCACAGATTGTGTTAATTGATATTGATATCCACACACAAATGTATCATAAAACATAATAATCCAATAAAATATACTACATACATTGTTTAACACTAGCACATGCATTTCAATAGAATTACATCAAAGTATTAAACTGATCCTCTTAATCAAATTAGCCGTTACAATGCTGCCTTCTACAAAAATAAAAGCGATGCTAATGAATACTGTGTAAAATATGTATAGTATTTATAAATGCCAATTTCCGATGAAGATTTACTCATGAACATGCACAAGTTTCTGTATTCGTAGCTATGCGACATCGACCAGTGATAAGATGATATGTTACTCTTTTTCGTTTTTCATACCCTTTCCTGAGTTTGAATACAAAATCGCGATATTTTTGTGATCGTCGCTGATCAACTTGCGAAAACATATCAATCTCAGAAATATAAGATACAGGAGCATGCACACTGCAGTCGTTATGACGATAATAAGAATTCCTCGGGACACTTAAAACACTGGATTGCATACCGTCATTAAAGGATATTTACGATACTTTATGGTGTAAACTACAAAATAAACATAGTTTGTAATATGTTTGTATTATCCTATTACTGCAACAAAAAGTACACATTTATCACTCTTTAAAGCGGCCATTATAAACCGAACCAAGTTCAAAATGACGTCATAATAGTTAAAGTGTTGGATAAAACTAACCCGTCGCAGAACAAGGCTGTTCATGGGGAAAACATACACGATACATATACATATCTGAAGTGAATGATGAATAATGATGGATACATTTTTATTAGATAAATATACTTTAAATTTGACTAATATAAGTATTGAGCAGTTTTCAGTTGGAATTCATCCTCAATATGAATGCCATGTGGAACGTGACAAACTTATAATGAAGCGTTAGCGCATTTCATAGCATTTGTCACGTTCCGATTGGTATTCATATTAAAGAAAATGCAGACTGAAAGCAGTTCAATGGATAAATAAATTTAACACTATTGAACACGGTAGGGTCATACTTGTTCAAACGGTACACTTTTCATAAACTTTCCATCGCTCACCATTGTGACATGACGAATTGTTTTTACACTGAAATTAATTTTATGCGATGAGAAAGTACTAGTTATCAACATTAGTGTTCTGTGTATAAAACAGCAGTGTGTCTAGACCAGGATTCGAACCCTGGTCCTTATATTGTAAAACTTATCGCTCTAACCGATGAAGCTGCTTGGTTAACGGCAGTGTGCTGCAGTTACATCCACCATGATATTAAAGGGAGATTAATGTTTATATGAAAATCCACCGCACAATGGGACAGGGATCCCTTAACTTAAAACGCTGTGTTATGTCTATATCATGGTTTGTATGAACAGATACACACAGATTCTTGACATGTACAATCACACATCATGTGTTATGGTATGTAATAATATAAGCATTATAACACACCATATCTGCTTCTGTGTATCAAGGACCTGTGCATGTAAAAAAAACACCACACAAAACAATTATAACCCAATTTCTTACCCAGTAATAATCATAACATACAAATTATAAAATCATTTGATAAATATTTATCCAAATTGGAAACACACAAAACGTTACATATGATTAATTAATTGGTTAAAACCGGTGCAAGATAGTTATATTGAGTTCTGTAGGTATTTCCACCTTGTTCCTATTTTACCTTTTGCTCCCAGCTTGCTCAGTGTTTCCTCTTTGCTCCTAGATTGTTTTCGAGGTATGATGATTTGACATTATACATCGATTGTTCTGCAAGCTTGATTAGTTCACCTTACCCCTAGATCGTTCTGTGTGAAGATTTTACCTTGCTCCCAGATTGTTTTGTGTGATGATTTCACCCTACTCCTAGATTGCTCTGTGTGAAGATTTCACCTTACCCCTAGATCGTTCTGTGTGATGATTTCACCTTACTCCTAGATTGTTCAGTGTCATGATTTCACCTTACTCCTAGATTGTTCTGTGTGATGATTTCACCTTACTCCTAGATTGTTTTGTGTGATGATTTCACCTTACTCCTAGATTGTTCTGTGTGATGATTGCACCTTACTCCTAGATTGTTCTGTGTGATGATTTCACCTTACTCCCCGATTGTTTTGTGTGATGATTTCACCCTACTCCTAGATTGTTCTGTGTCATGATTTCGCCTTACTCCTAGATTGTTCTGTGTGATGATTTCACCTTACTCCCATATTGTTTTGTGTGATGATTTCACCCTACTCCTAGATTGTTCTGTGTGATGATATCACCTTACCCCTAGATCGTTCTGTGTGAAGATTTTACCTTGCTCCCAGATTGTTCTGTGTGATGATTTCACCTTACTGCCAGATTGTTCTGTGTGATGATTTCACCTTACCCCTAGATCGTTCTGTGTGAAGATTTTACCTTGCTCCCAGATTGTTCTGTGTGATGATTTCACCTTACTGCCAGATTGTTCTGTGTGATGATTTCGCCTTACCCCTAGATCGTTCTGTGTAAAGATTTTACCTTGCTCCCAGATTGTTTTGTGTGATGATTTCACCCTACTCCTAGATTTTCTGTGTCATGATTTCACCTTACCCCTAGATCGTTCTGTGTGATGATTTCACCTTACTCCCAGATTGTTTTGTGTGATGATTTCACCCTACTCCTAGATTTTCTGTGTCATGATTTCCCCTTACCCCTAGATCGTTCTGTGTGATGATTTCGCCTTACTCCTAGATTGTTCTGTGTGATGATTGCACCTTACTCCTAGATTGTTCTGTGTGATGATTTCACCTAATCCCAGATTGTTTTGTGTGATGATTTCACCCTACTCCCAGATTGTTCTGTGTCATGATTTCACCTTACTCCCAGATTGTTCTGTGTGATGATTTCACCTTACTCCCAGATTGTTTTGTGTGATGATTTCACCCTACTCCTAGATTTTCTGTGTCATGATTTCACCTTACTCCTAGATTGTTCTTTGTGATGATTTCACCTTACTCCCAGATTGTTTTGTGTGATGATTGCACCTTACTCCCAGATTGTTCTGTGTGATGATTGCACCTTACTCCCAGATTGATTCGTGTCATGATTTCACCTTACTCCTAGATTTTTCTGTGTGATGATTGCACCTTACTCCCAGATTGTTCTGTGTGATGATTTCACCTTACTCCCAGATTGATTTGTGTCATGATTTCACCTTACTCCTAGATTTTTCTGTGTGATGATTGCACTTTACTCCCAGATTGTTTTGTGTGATGATTTCACCTTACTCCCAGATTGTTCTGTGTGATGATTTCACCTTACCCCTAGATTGTTCTGTGTGATGATTTCACCTTACCCCTAGATCGTTCTGTGTGAAGATTTCACTTTACCCCTAGATTGTTCTGTGTGATGATTTCACCTTACCCCTAGATTGTTCTGTGTGATGATTTCACCTTACTCCCAGATTGATTTGTGTCATGATTTCACCCTACTCCTAGATTGTTCTGTGTCATGATATCACCTTACTCCTAGATTGTTCTGTGTGATGATTTCACCTAGCGCCCAGATTGTTTTGTGTGATGATTTCACCTTACTCCTAGATTGTTTTGTGTCATGATTTCACCTAACTCCCAGATTGTTTTGTGTGATGATTTCACCCTACTCCTAGATTGTTCTGTGTCATGATTTCACCTTACTCCTAGATTGTTCTGTGTGATGATTCCACCTTACTCCCATATTGTTCTGTGTGATGATTTCACCCTACTCCTAGATTGTTCTGTGTGATGATTTCACCTTACTCCCAGATTGTTTTGTGTCATGATTTCAACTTACTCCCAGATTGTTCTGTGTCATGATTTCACCCTACTCCTAGATTGTCTGTGTGATGATTTCACCTTACTCCCAGATTGTTTTGTGTGATGATTGCACCTTACTCCCAGATTGTTTTGTGTCATGATTTCACCTTACTCCCAGATTGTTCTGTGTCATGATTTCACCTTACTCCTAGATTGTTCTTTGTCATGATTTCACCTTACTCCTAGACTGTTCTTTGTGATCATTTTACCTTACTCCCAGATAGTTCTGTGTGACGATTTCACCTTACTCCCAGACTGTTCTGTGTGATGATTTCACCTTACTACTAGATTGTTCTGTGTCATGATTTCACCTTACTCCCAGACTGTTCTGTGTGATGATTTCACCTTACTCCCACATTGTTTTGTGTGATGATTTCACCTTACCCCTAGATTGTTCTGTGTGATGATTTCACCTTACTCCTAGATTGTTCTGTGTCATGATTTCACCTTACTCCTAGACTGTTCTTTGTGATCATTTTACCTTACTCCCAGATAGTTCTGTGTGACGATTTCACCTTACTCCCAGATTGATTTGTGTCATGATTTCACATTACTCCTAGACTGTTATTTGTGATCATTTTACCTTTCTCCCCGATAGTTCTGTGTGACCATTTCACCTAATTCCTAGATTGGTCGGGGTGATGATTTCACCGTACTCCTAGATTGTTATGTGTCATGATTTCACCCTACTCCTAGATTTTCTGTGTCATGATTTCTCCTTACTCCCAGATTGATTTGTGTCGTGTGATGATTTCACCTAATCCCAGATTGTTTTGTGTGATGATTGCGCCTTACTCCCAGATTGTTCTGTGTGATGATTTCACCTTACTCCTAGATTGTTCTCTGTCATGATTTCACCTTACTCCTAGACTGTTCTTTGTGATCATTTTACCTTTCTCCCAGATAGTTCTGTGTGACGATTTCACCTTACTCCCAGATTGTTCTGTGTGATGATTGCACCTTACTCCCAGATTGTTCTGTTTGATGATTGCACCTTACTCCTAGATTGTTCTGTATCATGATTTCACCTTACTCCCAGATTATTCTGAGTGATGATTTCACCTTACTACAAGTCTCCAGCTAATGGGTTGAAACATTAAACCCACCAATACACCTTCTTTTGTTAATCCTCACATGATCAAAGAATACTTGGAAAGACACTATGAATAACCATTGGTATCGCGTTACCACGAAAGTGCAGCGAGGCTTTTCCTCGGTCTTGTTCTATTTAAAAGAAAGATTTCACTTGCATTAAAGGCAATTGCATTGGGTACATACACTGCACAAGTAACCGTTGTAATCATACTTAGTGCATATAAATATATGGTTGTTTCTTATAATAAGTAGGGTGGGGTTTAAGTGAGCATCATAATCAAAATCATAATCAAATAACTGGTCGAGTAACCAGGTGCTGTTCAGATAAACGTTTTCAGACTGCATTTTCCGTTACATTTTGTTTGCCATATTAGTTTTTGCTTTTGTTATGATACACTATGATGATAATGGATTTCTTGATCATCAATTGTATTTCACAAGTTGGGTGAAGATTTTTATATTCTGCAAAGATGCATAGAACGAATGAAGAACACATAATCAATGAATGAAACTTTGATTTTCTATCTTGATGCTCCTAGCATCACCAATGGGTACTAAAAGAAAAAAACAGCGGAACGGTGAAGTGTAATTCAGTTTTGGCGTACTGCATCTATTATAAAGGTGAGCCGCAGTCCCCTATTTGTGTCTTACGTTCACCTTTTAGACAAGACGACTGGTGACCCGTCCTATCCTTCCACAGGATCTATGAATCTTGTCTGTCCACATCCCCAACAGAACTCAAATCTCCGACAGAGAATGCAGCGCACACGGATGTTCCTTTCATCTCGTCTGGTACAAAACGATCGACAAGATGGGCACTCCTTGATATCCTGGACAGGTATGGAGAGGACATACTTAGTAATAGATATTTCTTGGAGAAATAAAGCAAAAATTTGCTTCTACTACTGATTAGACATTTCATGCAAATTTAGTAAACGATTCTATCTCTTACATTTGTAGATTAGGATTAAGTCAGTAGTAAGATATGCAATTTTTACTACTGACTTTTTTATGTATTGAGAAATATATAAGGTATTTGTATTTAGATAATATAGTTTTCTTACACTTCCATCTAGTTTAAACCATACATCTCTTAGATAAGATTTATTATATTTTATTCATATTTACAACATTTGACAACAGCTAGCATAAAGGTAAATTCAAAATGATTCACTCACTGCTTTGGCAAAGTAGTTTCGATTGAGGGTTTCTTCATAGGTCATGTTTTTCTTGTCCGTCCACTGGAGTTTGGTTCGTAGCTCAGAAAGACACCATTCTGTCCTGCAAGCTTCCTTGTAGCATGTCAGGCTAGTGTGACCAAGATGCAGTAAATGTTGCAGGTAGTCATCCAGGTCGTCTTTTTCTGTTACAAGGAATATAAAAATAATGAAAACCACATCAATAATTCCCTAGACAAACTGTTAGTGTGGTAGAGTAAAAGCGATAAAATACACCACGATGTCATCACACAAATAAAATATCGAAATGTATTTATAACAATTACGAACGTCACTAAAATGCGACAGTATCAAAGTTGCTTGAATTAAATTTCTTGCTTTCTGTTACATGTATTACCTTTGGCTTGTCGGTTTGTATTCCGTCTTTGCTCTTATGTGTCAACGTAGTCTTAAGTTATGATTCTTGCTTTACTATGCTGACACAAATGTGTTATGTTGTCACTGTAGTCGCTTTCATTTATTGATGGATTAATACACGTTTTCGATGTAAAAATCCTAAGTGAGGTTCTCCTTTACAAACGGAAAAGACCCACAATGTCTACTGATCTAAGTTTTTACACTTGTAAATGCCTAGTAACCATCAAAGTATTATATAGTAATTATAACCAACTAATGGCCACCTAGTAACCGACTTATGACTACATAGTAAATGACTAGTGACTACCTAGTAAGCGATTAATGACTACCTAGTAAGCGATTAATGACTACCTAGTAGTGACTACCTAGTAACCAACAAATGACTACCTAGTAACCAACTAATGACTACCCAGTAACCGACTAATGACTTCCTAGTAACCAAGTAATGACTACCTAGTAACCGACTAATGACTACCTTGTAACCGACTAATGACTACCTAGTAACCGACTAAAGACTACCTAGTAACGAACTAATGACTACCTGGTAACCAACTAATGACTACTTAGTAAGCGATTAATGACTACCTAGTAACCGATTAATGACTACCTAATACTGACTACCTAGTAACCGATTAATGACTACCTACATGTAGTAACCGACTAATGACTACCTAGTAACGAACTAATGACTACCTGGTAACCAACTAATGACTACCTAGTAAGCGATTAATGACTACCTAGTAACCGATTAATGACTACCTAGTACTGACTACCTAGTAACCGATTAATGACTACCTACATGTAGTAACCGACTAATGACTACCTAGTATCCTTACATTTATTTTTGCTACTTTTACAAAGTCTCGTTAAGATTTATCCACATTCCTCCTGGGGTACCGTCCTTCTATTCTTAGTCGGATACCACCTTCGTGTATTCTTTCTATTATAAGCATACTTTTTTCAATAAATTCTTCATGAGAGTTCATATAGGCAAGCCAAAATGACTTATTTCAGTGTCATATCACAGTTACATGGATACGTTTGAAAGTATACAGTAATATAGCAAACCAACCATATAGTTACAGGGCAGAATCCGTCATTTCATATAAAACATTATTAAAAATGAAATCAAATTATCAAGATTTCAGACCAAAGAGCAGGTGACCGGGATCGCAATTGCGCAACAGTGTACATCATAAGATAAATATAACATATTTTTCTACATTTATTGCTTTAAAACGTGTTGAAAAAAAGACAACAAATGAATTCAATAGTTCTACCTTGTAGTGTAATTTAGGTTTTCAAGGGTTGGAGAGATCCCTACCAGCAAGGTCTACTAAATGCGCGCTACTTAGTTACTAATTATGATTTAAGTGGACAAGTCAGTAAAGACATATGAAAATAATTTAATCTTGCAATTTATGTTATCAGCCTATAACGTAAAAAATGACGTCGTCGTTTGTAACGTCGCTTTTGATTGGCTGATACAGCGGTGTAATAATTTCTAACAGAAAAGAGACCATCATTAAAAGTGGATTTCCACAGGGATTGTGTATAGTAGATTAAATTATAAAGAATAACTTGAATATATTTTTAATGTTATGAAGCTATAACACAAAAAAACGGAGTGTACTCTCATCATAAAAATATATTCGAGTTAATCCTTAAAGAAAGGAAGGAAAAAACTGGTTTATAGAAAAATGTTTCTTACTAACCCTTGTTATCAAAGGTAACACTTGTACATACATTTTGATTTAGCATTGGAATGTTTAATACAAAATTTAATAAACATCTATCAACATAAATTTAAGGAGTATCGTTAAAATAGCAGTACCTTTTCCCCAATTTTCCCTCAGTCCGTATAGAGCACCTGCACTATATTTATATAAAATACAATTCCCTTGTCATGGGGATTAATAATTTATACTCAATGTAGTAAAATCCCTTTCAGCTTTTTCGGACATTCGTCGGATCTCTAAACTTTTATTACAGATAACAAATTCGCAAATGTTACAAGTGTAACAGGAAAGAGCGTAGTGTGTTTCAACCAGGAATCGAACCATCAACTCGCAGCTTCCCAGACCGCCGCTCTACCATTTGTGCTTAAGGGAAGATTCCTTTAGCTAGACGCTATTAAGAGATTTTAATCCTGTGTACAAATGTCAAATCTGCCACACTACTATTTTTTAAGGATCGGTCATATAGAGGTTAGGTCCTGTCTTTCATAAAATATTTTATAATTTGATACTTTTTTCATACGGATATTTTCCTCTTTAAAAATAATAAATATAATTAGAAAATTACCGAAACGATGGCCACAACTCATGGCAATGCAAGCTCCTCCGGCACAGCTTTTCTGCCTTTCTTTCCCCTTGTCTGGTGTGTCACCTTTTTCAATCTTGACACATGTCATATAGTCGATGATGTCCTGCAACATTCCACGTGTTTCCGAATGATCTTCATTTTGCTGTTGTCTTATTTGTTTTTGGTTAATCATCATTATTTTCTGATTGGCCAGCGATGTGTGAGTTAATTTGACTTGACATTCCATCATCTCAAAAAGGATCTTCATATTGTCTACATGGTTTATCTTGAAGCCTTTAATCAATTTAGAAATTGAAGCCAGTCTGATTTTCACATTAGCGTATCGAGCATCAGCAGTAATCCCAACCTGACACATGTTCTTCACATTACGTTTAAATTCGCTTCCACAACTTTTGACCATTTTCTCTAGATCTTTAATAATTCCGGTGATTTTGGAGTTCCATTTGGCGCCATACCTTTCCATCTTCCGGTCAACCTGTTCAGTAGTAGGAAGTCCCTCCATTTTCTTCGCTATCCTATCACACGTGTCTAGCAGAGGAAAGAATAATTTAGACTCCAACTGTGCAACCATGTCCATGAATTCAGAAAGCACTAATTTTATATCATTGACCTCTTCCATACCTTCTTTGCATTGCCATTTTTTCACTTCCAGAAGCAGGACCTTTTGATCGGAGGAATTTGGAAGTGGTCCTTCTTTGTACGTTTCAATCGTTTTCTCTAACGTCTTTTGATATTGTTGGTCATGATCTGTAAGACGGAGAAGAACAGTTGATACATCTTTCCATACAGCTTGGAAATTGACCTTGTCTGATTCTGCCTCAGCAACATGGCATATATTATTACGGAACAGCCGCAGCCTGACAAGGTCTGCTTCCGGGGAAACGTCGGCAGCTGATGGCTGACTATTCCAGTCTCTAGGAGGACAGATGCCACAAATGTTGCCTAGCAACAGGCACCAAAGGGAGATGTCCCACTCGTCCGGTTTTGCCACAGGAAACAATTGACTCCATTGTGATGGTAAGATTTTTTTCTTGTTCTTCAGAGTAGTAAGGGTGGGTCTGTAACTCTGCAGGAAGCTATCCACAGTTGTGTTCGGTGTCATTCGAGTGATGAATAACCTGTTCAATACATCTTTACCACCGTTTACTAAAAGTAAGATCAGCCGGAAAAAGTTGACATTACATTCTGTAATACCCACTAGTTGTCCGCCGCCTGTCATCGTGAACTTTTTATTGCGCAACTGAAAATAGCCAATACGATAACGTTCATGTAAATACTACATTGTGCCTATTTTTAGCAAATATCTTTTTTAACCTGACATTGTAACACTGATCGAGTTGATTATCTACCCAAGCGCATTAATCCTAGTTTTAATATTTTAGCTTTAGACCATTTTCAGTAGGCTAATTTAACTAATGGGAAAGTCAGTTACAGATTAATTGCACGAAACTTTCTAATCACAATTTAAATGTATGCACAAATTAATGTTAAGATGGTCGTGTGTCTTTAAGAAGTCACAACCAGGTAGTTATGCAGTAAGTTTGAGGTGTATGTATAAATAGATGTGGTACGTTCACCCAGATATATCGCTTTATTTCATTTACCTTCACAATTTGTTTGTAGTCTTATAGCTTAAATTTATACGTCGCCTGCTAAGGATCATTTCCAAAGTCAAGTACATGTAGTCGTATTATCTACGAGTCATTTTTGAAAACATGAATAAAGCGAAACTAACAGTATCTTTAAATGATCTATATTTATATTATGAATATCATATTTTATTTCGTTTAAAAACAAATTAATGTACATGTATTACAGATCTTTGACAGATCAAAACATCTTACCTGTTGTAATGACTATTCAGATACAAGTAGCATTTTCTCATGGGAAATCCTGGTAAACGAAAGTGGAAATCCAGAATGACGACACCGAGTATAGAGATAAAGGGAGACAACTGTCACAATATATACAAATTGACCTGGTTTAATGTAATTTATGAATGTCCTAGTAATACTTTGTTTTTTATTATGTTTCAATATCATGAATTTTAAAGTACTGTATTAGTTGTATCTATGGTTGATATGACCGGACGCTGACCATTAGAATGAGGTGAGAAGGCCAAGAGTCGTGTGAATTTGTGGCTATTTTTAGCACCCTATACAAGAACGTGCACTAGCTGACCCTAGGTCACAAGCCTGCTGAAGATGATGGAGGAACAAGGTGTGTACCTTCTTTTTACATCATGATCTAATTTTGAAAAATATCTAAAAGTGAATTTTATTAACCACCACCTCCCCTTCTTGCCTCCTTCTCAATATGATTATTACTTCTTAAAGGGGAGTTTTCTTACCCCATGTAAGACTTTTAAGTACATTGGACAAAAACTTTAAAAGATAAAGTTTTTATATAAACATGTCGTTTTTAATAAAAACAGCCATTTTCAATTCATTTGAAGTGTTTTAGTTGTTTATGCACTTAACATGTCTTACAAGCTTGCCATGGTGATATTTACTTGGAATCAGGCATAAATTACATATATACTAATGCAAAGCACAATCAAATGTGGTTACCCTCATTCGACAGATGACATCAGTCCCGCGACTCGCTTGTTTACCGGTACATTTGCATGGGAGGTTTTTGGAAGATAGTTGGTCTGTTGGAAAATAATACACCCACGTGCATGGTCAGTCGTCCAATAATCAGTGGTCATCGCAAAACATGAAAGATTCGAAAATGTTATGGTGTTCGCGAGGTACCACACCTCACTGTTCTCTTTTGCTTTGTGCATACAATTCCATTGTTAAAACTCACGGATTTGCCGTGTTTACGTTTTTATCCATTTTGCGCGAGATGACGTTTTAGCCATTCTGACTAGGTCCTTTTTATAAAGATATTTTAACCATCATGGCTATTTTAATTCGTGTCCAAACTCTGATAAGTATAGTCTAACATTACGCTTTATTTAGCGGAACATATGACTTATCCAACAGCTATAGTAAGAAGTTACATTCAGCGTGTTGGGGTGATTCGATCGTCAACAATATTATTGATGAACTCAAAAAAATGAATGACTTCATCTCTAACTTGGACTCAGTGACACCGAAAATTATTGACTGTCCACAATACTCAATTTCCGCCTGGAATGAGTAGAAGGGATACTCAGCAGATATGGACCTAGCAACACCTCAGGAATGTGAAACTTGATAAACCGGCAAATCAACCAGCTAAATGACAAAATCCACGCTATAAACTTGGAAAAAAATGTCAACAACCTCCTCTTTAACAATTGTCTATCCCGCTCACGTGGGGACGTAAAAGCAAATGTAACCGTTACAGCATTAATCTGAAACTGTATAGGGACGGTCTCCATCCCGGAAATAAGTTAGTGGACACTTGGGCACGGCTTCTGGTTCGAGATATTGATGTCTACTGCTGCGTCTCCATAGAACAGATAAAGGGTCACTGTAGGGTGTGATCAGGTTTAGACTGACCATTTTCAAGCAAGCAAGCAAGCAAGCAAGCAAGGTAACCTTGCAACTCTCACTTGAATTATTTGGTTAAGTACACAGCGTTTACCCGGTTGGTCATATTCGGCAGGGTAACTCTGTCAGTTCCAGACCTATCTCCCAGATTTAGACAACACTGTAGGGTGACCATATTTGTGAGTCGGCAAGGTAACCTTGCCACTCTCATATGAATTGGTTGGTCACGTGTACAGTGTCTACTTGGTTGGATGTACTCGGCAGGGTGACCCAGCTGCCAGTTCTAGGTCTGACTCTCGTAGTCACTGTCCCTCGAGTCAAACACACTTTATATCTCGGTTAAGCAATCACTCGCGTCATCATCACCAAAATGTGTACCTGCATGTTATTCACAACCGGACATTATTAGAGAACAGTATATAGATGCGTCCCAAGAAGCTGGATCAGCTTACATCGATGTCGACACTACATGAAAACTACATGAAAACTTCTTTGTACATTTGTTGTGCGAGTTATTTTTAAATATAAGCTGCCTAAACGGGTATTTTGTTCACATTTTAGCTTAAACGGGATTTATTTGGCTGTGCGTAGCATCATTGATCTCGTATAAAAAGTAAGTGCATTAAAGCTGTCAGTAAGGTATTTCCTGCTATATCATTTTCTGCGACGAAATAACCAAGTCTCTGCAAACTGCAAAACGTTTCGGCAACTGAGACATTGTTATAGTCATGAGATATGATCAAATAAAACGAACAGCCGCTATGAAAATGATTGAAGCCAAAATTGATATCAAAATTCTTGTAGAGACCTCGTCACAGCAGAAGTTCAGTATCATATTTCAAACACGAAATATCAACGATGGATGAGAGAGGAGATGGTCATGACGGAGTACGTTGTCAGGTTATTTTAACATCTATGTATATGTTGAAAGCACGTATCTCCAAGAGTTTTAATACACATCTAGTGCAACCTCGATATCCAAGGGTTACGCTCACTTGAGCTCTCTATACCCCTGGAATATGTCATAGCAAAATCGAAGGCTCAGTGTGCAGCACCTTGTGGACGAGACGAGAAGACTAGTTTGATCCTTTGATGTACATTATAAGAATCTCGCAGTCGCGAAACGGTAAAACTTTCTGGCTTGAAGTCGGGCGTCACTCCTATGTAATCTTCAAAGAAAAAGCATCAGCCTAGTGATTGGTCAAGATTTTTTACCTGACACCAATCAAATAGCTAGCTGCGTGCTATCAATTTTACTATGACATATTCCAGGGGTGCAGAGAGCGAAAGAGAGCGTAACCCCTGGAGTATCGAGGATGCATCTGGTGATGAGTATGATAGTGTTCACCCGCCGTTTAAGTGAAGATCAAATCCAAGCAATGTCATGTCCTCTAAGTGATAACCGGGGTGGTGATAACAAAACCAATACTAACGTTAACTAATTTACCCCTGAAATTACATAATATGTCTTCAGGGGTGAACGAGTTAAAGAGCATGTCGATATGCATAAAACACAACTCAAACAAGTCCTTTGTAGCTCATGTTGCTGTGATTTGATTCCAGTCCATGACTGTCCGAGGGAAGAAGGAGTGTTTGTAGCATTTATTGTTGGTGCGTATAGCTTTGAACTTGTATCTGTCTGTCGTACGGGCGTCAGAGGTTTGCAATATGTGGTCGGTAGTTAGTTAGTGAAGATCAGAATGAGGACCAGAGTCCACTGAAAGAGATGATTATGTGGCTCCGTTAACTTATACCTGCTGTTGTGTGTTATTTAGGAAGGAGTAGATCCAGTCTAGCGTATTATATTTGGTACCGTAGAAGTGTAGTTTGTGCAGAAGACGTTGATGAGTAACCTTACCAAAAGCTTTTGCAAATTCTAGTAGAAGAATGTCTATATAATGGCCAGAAGAAAGATTGTTAGCCAGGTCATGAATGGTATTCGAAATTTCCGAAAACCATGTTGGTTGTTGTTTAGGATACTGTGGTGGTTTTAGTGGCAAATGATATTGCTGTGAATGATGTGTTCCAAAATTTGCCACATATTGATGTAAGAGAGACGGGACGGTAATTAGCAGCTTTGTGTCGGTCACCTTTTCAGATACTGGTTTGATGCCAGCCTTTTTCTAATCTAGTGGGACAGTACCAGTGTCGATAGATAACTGATAAAAGTGTGTGAGAAAGGGAGAAAGTTCTATTGAAAGACAGTGAAGGATGTAAGCAGAAATATTGTCCGGTCCGGTAGCCTTGTGAGGTTTACACCATGAATAACTTCTGGACACCATTGCCAGTGATCATTTTATCGTATGGGGTTGGACCTTTGGATGGGATGTTACCTAGGCTCTCCGTTGAATATAGTCAATATAACGTATTGCCCAGTAGTTGGTTTACGAGCGTGAGTGCTAATGATCTTAAATTGTCGATGTTCACCTTTTTCCACACATGGACAATTCTTTTAGGCTGTCTAATTCTTACTGGAGATAGTTTGGCCTCAACGAGGACAATATCACGGTCACCTAAGCCTGGTAAGGGTTACACTTTCAATAAAGGAGGGAACATTTGTGAAAAAGAAATCAAGGATGTTGTTACCACTATTAGGAAATCGAAGTCCACCATTTGTCCCAGCCCTACATTGTAGGTCAAATGTCATTTCAATGAGTTGGTTCTGGACTTTCTTTGAATTAGGAGCAAATCGGCCATCAGATCTCCTGCTACCAAGAATGTATCTTGGTTGTGTTTTAGTTTCTTTTGCTACATTTTGGATGAGTGTTTCGTTTGTTTGATTTGGAGGTTTGTATAGAGATGCAATGATTAAGCTCTTTCTTTTAATTTGTTGGTGTTAATTTTGGTGACTGTGAGTTCCGCATTCTTGCTGCAGTGAAGTTCTGAGCTAACAAGGCTGATTTTCATTGCTATGAGGACGCCTCCATATCCATCTTCACGGTCTCTTCTGTATATCTTAAACTTTCGTGATGGAAAAGGTTCTGAAGATGATATTTTTTTATTTATCCAATGCAAGTTTCATTGCCAAATTTGATGTCAAGGTCAGATTTGTCAATGAAATTTTCAATTTCTGTTGCCTTGTTTTTACAACGCTGAAAGGTGATTACAAGCGCTAGCAAGCTCCTCAGCTTTGGTTTGTGTTTTGATGCGAGCGGGGGTTCCTGTACGTGGTGATTTCCTCCCTTTGTTGACATAGGGGATGGTGTTAACTGCCTGGAACTGTCTGTGAGATAATACATATATTTCCAAGGCTCACCTGTGGGCTAGAAACAGATGGCTCAGAGACAGTAGAAAGAGATTGAAACGGTTGAGAGTAGTCAAACGGGAGAACGTTTACCGGTAAAATGACGAGGAGTGATTGGGAATAGAGCAATTGTGGCAAATCTATACTGATGAGGAGGAAACGTTGTTTATATGGTTCAACCCAAGTAAAACTTTAACC